TGTCCCTAGAAGTGGTAGTGTTAAAGCTCAATTCCCTCTCCAATCACTGGACCTCTTTGACTTGTCTCCTGCAGAAAATCTTCGGAAGAAAGGGTACATTCTGAGGATTTGTCCCCTGTCTGCCTCATTCACACTCATTTAAGAAGACTCAATCTAGGATTAAAGATTTGCAAGTAACTTGAGCTTCTGATTTGCCTGCTGGTTACTGGGCAACGTATGGGAAACAGGTCATCATCATCAACAACAACAACTCAATTAAGTAAATAATTACTCACCAGACATTGTACAAAGTAAAGCATGGAAATATGAAGCTGCAGAAGGATTCTCAGAGATAGTCACATTATGTAACTAATTGCCTAGGCTCTGTATTGTGTTAGTTTTTTATCACCCTGCATGCAATTTTTCATTATTTTAACTGCACCAGAAGGAATACTCTATGGATGCCTCCAGACTGTCACTATTTTCTGGGAGAAAGCTAAGCACCTCCTGGAACTTTAAGCATCTGCATTTGAAGTGGATTAACATATAACACAAGAAACCCACTTCTTCTTTTTGGAAAAAAAAACTTTTTGCAGTTTGGAAAGTGATGGGGAAATGCATTTTAGGGAGCTTAAGTAATTTGGAGATTGGATGCACTTTCTGGCTTAAGGTCTACCTAATATTAGCTGTTCTTCCATTTTCTTTCCTCGGTATCTATAAACTTGTTTCTTCAACACTCTTTCTAATCATTGTACTTAACAACTGCTAAAAGACTTTGATCCCATCAAATTATTTGATCCCGCCCCCATAACTTCTGGAAATAATTAACCAGGTCACCAATTTGCTTTATGATATTAGGTGTAAAGTCTCTCTGACTTAATTTTTAATCTGCAACTATTACATCTCCACTTCATAGCATGCTCCAATGCTATTCAAATAATTTTATCCTCCTGGGGATCAAAATTTTGCATCAAGATGAGGAACTGATTCAATTACTCCTACCAGGCCATACATTCTGCTTTCTATGTGTGATGAATGAACTGTAAATAATCATCAGCAATCTGTTCCTTGTGAAAATGATTGCCCAAATAAGGAAAAATACTCCCTGGGAAAGATGTAAGGTTGTGTCTCCAAAAAAAGTAAAATAAAATAAAATAGAGAGAGTGTGTCCATAGAATCATAAATATGCAGTGTCAATCTCATGCCTGCATATCAGAGAACAAATTAAATGATCAGCAGTTTCTGCATTTTACTAGCTATTCTGACCTGGAAATAAACCAGGAAAACTTGAAAGCCTTCAGATGCTGTTGGATTATTACTCCCATCAGCCCAATCCAGTGCAACCAATAGTCAAGGATGATAGAAGTTATATATAGTCCCATAACATCTGGAAGGACTCGGGTTCCCCCTCCCTGAAACAGAGCATTATTAAAGTGCACTGAGTCAACCTAGAGGGGGAAGTGGAGTGTACCCATGTAGAACATTTCCTCACATGCAGTGCTATTTTTCAAAAAAAACCACAAAAAAAACAGGTGCCAGAATTCACCATGAATGCCTCCCTTTGTCTCTTACAATGGCAATGGAGCCCACCTGAAGGTGCCAATGAGTTCCGGTGAGTTCCAGCTGAAAAAAAGCCCTTCTCACATGTATTCTTAAGTGAATAGGGATCAATCCATCAGCCAGAGCTACTCATACACAGGCTTGGTTAGAAACTCTAACATTAATAGCATAGGAGGGCCAGCATCGTATATTGGCTACTGTTGGCCTAGAACCAGGAAAACCCAGATTCAAATCCTCGCTCAACCATGAAGCTCATTGGGCAACCTTGGGTCAAATTTACCTCACAGGGTTGTTGTGAGGATCAAAGGAGGGGAGAATCATGGCATGCTGCCCCAATTTCCTTGGAAGAAAGATGGAATACAAAAGCAGGGATGGGGGACCTGTGGTCCTCCAAAGGTTGTTGGACTATAGTTGTCATCTTCCCTGACTGTTGGTCATGCTGGCTAAAGCTGATTTGAACTGGAGTCCAACATTATGTGAAGGTCACCAGCTTCCTGTCCTTTGTGTAGTTGTTAAGAGTTTTCAACTGGAACCAGGAAGACTTGGGCTCATATCCCCATTCAGTCATGAAGTTCACTGGCTTAACTTGGGCCACTCACCATCTCTCAAGCTAAGTATCTCACAGGGCTGTTGTGAAGAAAAATGGAGGAGAGGAACCATGTCTTAGGCTGTCTATGCAATATACCTTTAAAGCACATTCGAATCACATTTTCTCCCTCAAAGCATTCTGGGCACCACAGTTTGTTAAAAGTGCTGGGAATTGTGAGGGGGAACTGCAGTTTTTTTCAAGGGACGAGTGGGAAATTTTCACTGAATGTGCTTTAAAGACATTGTGTGTAAACAGCCAAAACCCCTTGAAGCAACGGTAGGATTTAAATGTGATATATAAATAAGAATAAGAATAATAATACTGAATAATACAAATAATAATAATTTACTGAATAGCCTTGTGAACCAGTCTAATGTGATGGCCCAACCCAATCTGATCCTCATTTCTACTTAATAAGAGAAATTTTAAGCTTCATAGCAACTTCCAAGTTTACCTTTTCAGCTTTTTTTTTTTTTTTAAGGACCACAAAGATGACATGAGTTACAATACAATTCCAGGCTTTTCCCAAGTAGATTAGAGCTGGAAACAATCGCAAGACTGAGCCTGTCAGTTTTCAGAATAGATTGTGTCTTTCAAATTCACCTCCAAATCGTCAAGTGGATTATTGGCAACACAAGCCAGAGTATCTATTTTCACAAAGGAGAATATTTGTACAGAGTAATGGCTACTGAGAAGATAGAGGTCACAAGACCTTTAGCGGAATATATGAATTATCGCTTTTTACAAACAGTTATCTGGGTGACATTTTATAGTATGCTACTTCAGGAAGAAATGCTTGGCTGTTTTGTTTGATTCGACCCCCATCGCTCTATCCCGTCAAGCATAGATTAGATAAAGTGGCAAGGTACTATGACTCTCAGAGGAATGCTGATAACATTACAAATTTGTTTAAAAGCTTGTGAGGGTAGATGAGATAAGAACTATAAAGTGCTTTGCACACCAAAAAGAACTATGGAAATGATGAATTAGAAATGCCATTCATGGTCATAAGAAGCTGAGGCTTTCCTTATACCCCAGTTTTAAAACCAATGCTAATGATGAAATCTCTCTATATCTCCCTGTTTTTCTGCGCTAGCCATAATCTATGGTGATGCTCAGTATATAACTTGATAATTTCAGGAGAATGAAAGATTTAGCAGATTAAACATTAGTGCCCCTCAATATCAAGTGGGTTGTTTTTTAATTGGATGAATATACTATAACAAGAAACATTAGTCGTATGTCAAAATAAGAAGCGAATGTAACCCTCGTAATTTTGTCTTGATTGCCATTCCAAAATGAAGTATTTTGATTTCTCTAGGGTTTCCATAGAAACACTATAATGAAATCGGGGAAAAACATGTATTTCCCCCCCCAAGAAAACTTTACAAAAATAAAATAAAAATCTCATCAGACTGCGGGCATGAAGTTGCAACGTAATGTCACTGGTGAATTTGCAGCAGCGCAGAGGCTAACATGTTAGGATAGATGGTGAGGCTCTCCGTAGATGTTTTGACTTAATACCCTTTGCCACTGGGGATTCCTGGAGCTCAAAGTAATAGTGTCTTCTACATCAATGTGCAGTGAAGTGAATGTGGCATTAATCTTCATAGAAAGTTCAATTCTCTCAAGACTTTTGGAAAGATAATATAACCCACATTAATAGAAGGAACGAGGCAGGTAACTAGGCCTGCCTGCCTACCTATAACCACATGATTAAAGGAAGATTTAAAAGTTGGTGTCCTTGCAATTTGTCACAATGAGGTATAAGTACTTCAGTATTGTCCTGATGAGCACATATAAATTGCAAAATAAAACTGTGTGTTGAAGCGCAACTAATGAGAACCTATAGGTCGAATCCAATGAAGTAATTGAGTGAGCCGAATGACTTCTGCTCCTGCAATCAAATTCCCCCTCCTTCCCCATTTGTCCCAATTCTGCTCCAAAGGGTGGGGGAGGGGACCCCAGAGCAGAGCCATGTGTGTTTGCGTGCATGCACATGCATGCGTGCACATGCACTGAAGTTATGTGTACAATAACTTCACTGGATACGGGTTTTTAAGAAAACACAAAATCAACGACAAAGTGTTACCATATGTCAAAGGCTCCTTTGCCTGATGTGCAGAGTGTTCAGTCCTGCTTTCTGCAGGGATTGACTGCAGGGGCAGCTGATCAAGCTGCATCTCTACCTGTTGCACACATCACCCCAGGGGTGATGCTCCATATGGGTCCATACCTGACTAAGGGATCAGAGGAGGAACGGACTCAAGTCTGCTGTGCCACAAGGATGGTGCAGGGATCGGAGTTGGCCAGGGCCGAGGTGAGGGAATCAAATACCATCTGAAAATTAATATGCATCTTTTGGTGCTGAGGGACGTGGGCGGCGCTGTGGTCTAAACCACAGAGCCTAGGGCTTGCCGATCAGAAGGTCGGCGGTTCGAATCCCCACGATGGGGTGAGCTCCCATTGCTCGGTTCCTGCCCCTGCCAACCTAGCAGTTTGAAAGCATGTCAAAGTGCAAGTAGATAAATAGGTACCACTCCGGCGGGAAGGTAAACAGCATTTCCGTGTCTGCTCTGGTTTTGCCAGAAGCAGCTTAGTCATGCTGGCCACATGACCCAGAAAATCTGTCTGCAGACAAACGTCGGCTCCCTTGGCCAATAAAGCGAGATGAGCTCCACAACCCCAGAGTCGTCCGCAACTGGACTTAACGGTCAGGGGCCCTTTACCTTTGGTGCCTGGAGCCAAAAGATGGGTATCCCAATTTTCATCAGCCAAATGTTGGAGTGTATGCACTTAGAATCATAGAACTGTAGAGCTGGAAGCAACCACAAGGTCACCTAGTTCAACTCTTTGCAATGCAGGAATATTTTGCACAATGTGGGACTTGAAACCACAACCCTGAGAGTCTCATGCTCTACCAACTGAGGTATTTAAGGGTTATATGCCTAGATATTCCTGACTGTTCTCTAAGCTCCCATTTTCTCTCTTCTCCCTTTTGGAGGCTCTTTATAACCTCCAGGTTTCCCCAGCCTTCATTCCCTGGAACTATACTCCTTCCCTTGGGCAAGAGGGCCCTGCCCCACTCCTTAAGCACAGGCAGAGTGTTCAGGCATTGTTCAAATATGTTCCTCTTAGGAGCCACTGCCTGGTTGGGGCTTGGAAGTGACGATCGGTCTCTACTGAAAGGTCAAATGCTGCAAAGGACTAGCAAGCCCCTGCAGCACATCAAAGACAGGGCAAATGAGGCATCCAGCCAACCTAATTTGGCCTACAGCCTGTACGTTCCCCACCCCACCCCTGATCTAAGCAAATAGTCAGTTATCACTCTAGATTAAGATTGGCTGAAGTCTTGGTGCTGCATTGTGGGGGTGGCAATGGGGAGGGCATTGTCCTTTAGATGTATCACTCTGGTGAAAGAAACCCAAAGTCCCCCTTTGTGACCATTTAATATACCCTATATCTTCACATGAGACATGTGAGGTACATTAGGCTGAGAGTAGGTGACTGGCTCTAAGGATGATGGGAATTGTGGTCTAGCAACATCTGGAGAGTCATGGCATACCCTCCAATATTTCTCTGATGAAAATAGGGACATCCTATTTTCAACAACAACTTTATTATTTATACCCTGCCCATCTGACAGGGTTGCCCCAGCCACTTTGGGTGACTTCCAACATATATAAAAACTTAATAAAACATTAAACCCCATACCCTCCAACATTTCTATGATGAAAATAGGGTTGTCCTAAGGAAAAGAGGGATATTATAGGATCAAATCAGCAACCAGGATGGCTTCTGTAAATCCGGGATTGTTCCTGGAAAACAGGGGCACTTGGAAGGTCTGTCATAGGTTTCCCATCCCTGCCTTAGGTGAACAGGACATTGATTTTTAAGCAAAAAGACCCTATTAAAATTCCCCAAAGTGTGGTGGTTATTGTAGGAAGCGGGTGAGAGTTTCAAATTCCACTAGGCTTGGTTTACTTAGAAGCTGAGGTTACCAGAGTGCAGGGTCAGTGCACTGGCCGACCAGGCAATATGCTTTACTGGATGTGTCTTAATATAAATATCCCAGCACGTATCTGGCAGGGGCTATGAACTGTCAGAAGCATTTTCTGTACAAGCAGCTAGGCCTCATGATAGGTCCTCCACTCTCCTTCTATTAAGGTCAGCCCTTCTGCACACTTTGGCGAAGCACTACTTTGGGGTGGCTGAAGGAGTTTTCACAACAAACCCTGCCAGAAATATGTGTGATCATTGGGCCGAACATAATGAGACTGACTGTGCCTCTGCAATAATCCAGCTTTGCCTTAAAATGAGGACTTTACTTCTCCCCAAATTGCCTTCCTTTCGCTCCCAGGAGAGGAGTTTGCATTACTGATCACTGTGCAAAACCTTTGCGCTCCTCCTGGGAACGGTTCTATATCATATTCCTATCAAGATTTCCTGTATTGCCTTCCTAACTGTCCTTTCCTATTTGCCAAGGGTTTTGCAGGACCAGATTTCGAGTTCATTGTAAGAAGAGGACACATAAATTACATGGCTTCTTGTTTGTGTTATGTGGCTGAACATCAATAGTGTGACCTGGGAAGACCAATTTCTTTAAAAAGCAGAAATAGGGTGAAAGTGGAGCCTGATCTCATTTGTGAAGAGGCTCAATCTAATTCACCATAATGCCAGGTCACTTCCAGGTCACCTGTTTAGTGAGCATTCGTCCTGATTTCTCTGCACAGTGTTTGCTGGGGGGTTAGATAATGCCTGCTATTTATTGGGCATTCATACATCTTCATTCTCATAATGCTAAACTATGGTCCAAACCATTCTCCTATCCGATAGAAGGGACACAGGTGGCACTGTGGTCTAAACCATTGACCCTCTTGGGATTGCCAATTGCAAGGTTGGCGGTTTGAGCTCCTGCTGCTCTGTCCCAGCTCCTGCCAACCCAGCAGCTTGAAAGCACACCAGCACGAGTAGATAAATAGGTACTACTGCAGCAGGAAGGTAAACAGCATTTTACATGCTCTGGCTTCTGTCATGGTATCCTGTTGTGCCAGTCATGCTGGCCACATGTCCTGGAAAGCTGTTTGCAGACTAATGCCAGCTCCCTCAGCTTGAAAGAGGAGAAGAGTGCTGCACCCCATAGTTGCCTTTACTGGACTTAGCCATCAAGGAATCATTTACCTTTACCTTTTACCCTATCCTATGGAGATGTTAGAAGTCCAAGTCCCAACAGGGCTTACATACACATTTGCAAAGACACGTTGGGATATGTATACAGATGTTTCTAAAACCCTCATGCAAAATTCAAAGCTAACTTGATTTGATCATATATGTGATATGGTTGTATCAAGATTCTTTAAATGTGGTATTTATAAAGAGTGAAGGAATGCATGCATGCCCCAGTAACACTCAGCACAAAAAGTATATTGATACAAAAATGCATGCAATTACATAGACAGAATGCTTTCTTGTCCTGTTTTATCAGTGCACACATGCTCATTCCTAAACGGTGCAAATGAACTGAAAGTTGTTGCAATGTGCACATGCTCCAGATCTGGAATTAATGCAAGGAATTTCTCACTAGCCTGGAATTCAGGGGGAATATAGGACAAAGGGAACAGGAAACGAATGGAATAGAAGTCTTCTCATGCTTAGGCCTAACCCGTGCCTGCCCATTCACATGCAGTAAAAAAAAAAAGTAGTACGTACATGTGGTAAAAGAAATATGTGATATTATGTCATGTCCAGTACTCCTTATTGAAACTCCAGCTTTTTTGCAAGTGTTAGGGAAATACCAAATGTCCTAGTGATGTTTGCCATGTATATTGTCTATCAGTTGTAAATATAGAGTTGTCTTCCCTAACCCGGTGACCTGTCAGATGTTTTGGACTACAGCACCTATCCATGCCAGCATGCACAGAGCTCGCTGTGACTGATGGGAATTGTAGCCCTGAACATCTGGAGGGTACCAGATTGGAGGAGGCTGATCTAGGGAGGCACCACATGTGGGTGATGGAGATGGCCACACTACCTCCATAATGTCTGGCTTGGTCCTCAGTGGTTCCTCTTGCTTAACTGGAATTCTTCCACTCTCTTTTGCCCAATGGGGTGTTCTGTGTTTTTATAGGTTAATTATTATTTTTTGAAAATATTAATTTTATATACCACTTTTCCTCCAATGACATCACCTACTTCTCCCCTCCCCATTTTATCTTCCCAATAACCATGTGATGTAGGCAGGGCTTTTTCCCCCAGCCAAACTCAGTTCCAGCCCCTCTCAGGGGGGCACCATTGCCAATGTAAGAGATTAAGGGAAACATTCACAATGAGATCTGTCACCTCTTTTTCTAGAGAAATAGCACTGGTAGGCTGAAAGACAGTGACTAGACAATGGCTACCCAGTGAGCTTCACTTATTGAGTGGAGATTTGAGTTTCCTGGGTCCTGGTCTGGCTTCTAACTCCTATGCCACACTTCTAAGATGGGTCTATTGAAGCCTAAGGCACAACATAAAGTGCATGAGAGTGATATGGCCAGCCTAAGTGACTCCTGGGTGTATGAAAAAGAAAAGTGACACATGGAACCCCAACTTCTGCCTACGAAGCTCCTAAACAATAAAAAAACCAAAAGGAAAAACACACACACAACACAAAGGATCCTTTTTATATAAAAGAGATTAAGCCACAGTAGCCTTAGGCAGTGGTAATTTATATTCAGGAGTTTATGAGTGCTTTACTGACTTCATTATTCAGAAAGGAAAATCCATACTTATTATTATTTCAGCTGCTGCGTTGACACACACTCTAGGTATTTTCAAAGCTCAGAGCATCAGTGCAGTGAATTTGTATGCACTTTTATGCAAATTACCCGAGAGAGCCTAATGGGGTTAGGCCTCGTGTATATGCAAAATACGGCTTCCTGTGACTCTCTCTTTAATGCAATTTAGAAGCAGAAAACCTTAAAGGCAGACAGAAGGAGAAAGCAGCATAATATGAAAGACAGGCCACCCTTTCAAAGAGATGCAACTTTCATCTACCTCACACATCCACACAAGAACAAAACCAAATAGTCCTACCATGAGACTATAATTCCCATCATCCCTGTTCATTGGCCATGCTGGCTGGGTCTTATGAGAGTTGAAGTCCAGCAACATCTGTAAGTGGTATTGATTTATTATTATTATTATTATTTTAGGGAATGGTTCTTGGTGCATCCATTGCAATTGGTTGGTTTATTTATAGCAGCATTTCTATACCATTGCATCAAAAAAAATCAAGATGGTGGGCACTGCTAAAACATAAATCATCCTCATCATTTTTTTAAAAAAAGAAATACATGACATTTAAAAAGTACATGTAACTGTTAGGTCATTGGCTAATCAAAATGATTTTCTCTTTTGTAGACATTTTTGTAGACATTTCTTTGTTTTGTTTTACTTATTTACATGTTTTCATCCTTATTTTTTTTCTGTGAACTGCCCTGAAATCTCATGATGAAGGGCGGTATATTAATTAATCAATCAAACAAACAAACAAACAAAATGTCACGAGCCACTTTGAATAGCTGAATTGACAAATTGCATATAACTCTAACAAATAATTAAATATCTTCTACTTCTGAAGATCCTCCCAGCACACGCAGTCCAGAGGCTCCTTTTGGGGTGTGCAGGGCACACTGATGTCCAGGATTGTATGGACCACTTCTGCTTGCACAACCGAACTTCCTCTCCTCCCTTCATACAACACCCCACAGACCCACCTAAGTTGACTCTGAGATCTACATCTGGAACTGTTTTTCAAACTACAGTTCCCTTCATCCCTGACCACTGGTCTTGCTAGCTAGGGTTGATGGGAGTTGCAGTCCGAAAACAGCTGGAGACTCTGCAGTTTGGGAAACAGAGATGAGTGGGGCTTGCCAGGGCATGTCAGGGAAGGAAATAAAGGGAGGGTCCATTGTGTGAGCAGAAGAATATAAGAATGCACCCTGGCCAACGTTGGAAGCCCGCAAACAGAATCTGAACACAGCAGCAGGTTCCCCAAAGTTTGGCTGCATGCTATCTTTGAAGGAAATATTGAAATTATGGAATACCAGTGGTGCAACCTTAGCAACAAGAGAAAAAAAATATATAGCATACCTGATGTTCTGAGAACCCAAGAAGAGTCTACTGGATCAGACCCAAGACCCATGTAGTCCAGTATCTTGTTCTTGCAATGCCAACCAGCTACATATGAGAAGCCTACAACAGGACTCTCCCCGGTTGTGATTCCCAGCATTCAAAGGCATTCTGCCCCCAACAGTAGGCACTGATCATGAGTGATGAGCATGTATGTGTGAACCAGATTCGCTGCACATTTCCTGTCCATTCATTTCCATTTGCAATGCAGGCTTTTTGCAGAATAGGAATAGGGGAAGAACTATAATGGCAATTCACAGCAGTACATTGAAAACATCTCAAGCCACAACTATCACCAAAGCCATTTACAATGTCACAGGCAATTCAGAGCCTTACAAAAGAATATGCAGACAAATAGATTTTTAAAACATATATATATATAAACAGCCTGGTTTTCAGCCAAAGTGCTCACAGGCAGGAAAATGATACTTGATCTTTCTCTGTCTCTCCTCTATTCTCTCTCTCTCTTTCCCCTGTCAGTTTCAATTACAGTCACAAGGTGGAAAAACCTGGAATTTATAGGAAGAGTATGCAATTTTAGGAATCAGTAGTCACAAGAAATTTACATCAATGGCTGCAAGGCTAGAATAAGTTTGTTTACATGTGCTGTTGAAAACACAAAGAAGACAATGCAGAAAAACAGTAGAACAGAAAAGCAGGAAAGCTTGACAAGAGAATAGCTCTGATGCATATGATATGTAAAAGGGATCTAATCGAACCTACATGAAGTTAACATTTAACAAGAAATATTTCATGAGGAACACAGAGGAAGCAAGGCAGTAACTTGCAATGGACAAATAAGACTTTGAAAAACCAGAAGGTGAGCTTTTGAGGAATACAGTCTTGAGACGCAGGTATCTGACAGCACAATCCTATACAAATCTACTACAAAATAAGTCCCACTTTGTTCAGTAGAGATCATGCCCAGGTAAACTAAGAAATTAAAAGAATACCTTGCCTGTTCATAATGTGGTAGATTATGTCCAATCTGGTCCAACCCTTTTCAATATGATATTTATTAGAGATAATGAAAGGAATATAAAACCAGTCCTTTTATTTTCCTGGAAGACCTTGGTGAACAGGAAGATGAATAAACTGAATTGCGTGGCTATACCCCTCCCCCATGTGAAATGAAGACACTAGACACATTATTTAAGGTTAATGGGCGTAAATAGGCCACAACTTTATTGATTACAGAATTGAAAGGTATTGGCCTTAGGCATTGGCTCCTATCGACTACCCGGCATGCAGACCGGGGAGGGTTAACCACAAACCGTGGGGATCCTGTTGAAGTACGCCAACTAGGAACCCACGGGTGTCACCGCTCGGGGGCGTGCCAGGGGCCCTCACCTCCCTAGGTTTCGGACAAGGCAACGCCCCACCGGAGTCCTTTACCGGACTACCCTTCTCTTGGGGGAAGGTGATGGCGCTTCCTTCCCCCCCACTCATTTGCCTAACAATAAAACCCCTGCCAATGCCTAACCGCCACTCGAGCAAAGCTCGCCGCCAATACCTTCAAACCTGTAACCAATTCCTAATCCCTACAATGATGTCCCCCAGCCAAATGTCGTTTCCAGCATCTGACAGATGCACGCCATCCCATCTGTAGAGGGCCTCGTTGCTGTACTGGATGCCTGGGTGTCTTATGACGCACCCGCCCAGAGCCGCCACTCTACGCTCAACAGCCCGCTCCAAGACCTTTCTTGCTTTATTGATTCCAACCGGGCTCACACAATCCCTCCACGTCCTCCTCTCAAGCAACGAGGACCAAAGAATAGTAATGTTTGGATACACCGCCCTCAGATTGGCGAAATCGTCAAAGATGTTCCATCTGAGGTCAATGGCTTTTCGGTACGCTAGGTCGTTTCCCCCCAATTGGATAACCAGCGCATCGGGTGGTCCCTCCGAGGCGGCTCTCGCCATCACCAGTGGCCTGAATTCACTCCAGCGCATGCCCCTTCGCGCTAACCACAGCAGTTCGACCTTTGGAGGCAGGCTCAAATTCAGACCTAAACCGTTTTCCAAAGCACGATTTTTGGCCCAGTGCACGATGCTGTGGCCCACCAACCAAATGCGCACCCGCTTGCACTCTGAAAGGCAAATAAACAGGAGAAGCAGGGTCAGGGGAACAATCGCTAGTCATAGGTTCTTTCTTAAATAAGCTTTGTATGCATTAGATTTCCATCGCCCCAAGTCCTTTATCCTCTCTGCAGAGAGCCCGAGGTGCACTGCCGTGGTCGCTGCCCCGATACGGAAAGAGTGGGCTGCAAATTCAGCCGCGGGCAGTCCGCAGGCGGCCAACGCCTTGCGCATCACCCTCGTAAACTGATGCCTTGCCAAGAGCGATCCGTCCGCGTGGATAAACAAGTGCTCCCGGGACCCTTGGGTCTTAAGTAGAGGAAACGCCTCGTATCCCTAACTGGACATGGACCACTAGCTTGTGCTGCTGGTAAACGCAGGAGAGCCCCCATACCCTGTTGGTCCGTCTTAGAGCTCCGAACTTGAATTATTAGGTCAGTCTCGGATAGGGTCAGGTCGCCCAGGAGGATGCCCCTCTGGCTGTGGGCCGTCCCCTCGCAGACGACCTCACCTATGCGCAAGGCACCAAAGAAGGCTATGGAATAAGCTGCCGAGAATAGGCGAGCTTCATACTTTGACCAACATATTTCGCGTAATTTTTTGTGTATCTGGCTCAGAATATCATACGTAATGGGTTTTCTCTTGTCAGAGCTGGGGGGCTGCTGCCGGCGCCAACCCTCCAAAGTCTTACGCACGATAAACTGCGCACACGGATCGGTGGCGAAAAATGTTTTACAAAAATAGGAAATCCCCGCTGACTGAATATTGAGAGTCTTCGGTGCCCTGCCCAGCTCCTTCAAGTGGGTTAAATAACGGAGGACTTCCCTCGTAGAGGGGACCGCGGTCTGCCTAGTGTACGGCATACCGCCGCGGAACTTCAAGAAGTCAGCCCAAGCCTTCCTATATGATCTTATTGTGGAAGGGGCGACTGCACCGAATACTCCCTTCATCACTTCTTGTTCCCAAGGCTCCAGAGATGCTCCGGGAAAGACATCGATGATTGCTCCGCATCCGGCGCTAATGAGCGGAAGCGCTCCATCTGAAAACGAGATAGAGCATCCGCGATGTCATTATTGACGCCAGGTATGAATTTGGCGGAGAAGTATATATTCTGCTCCAAGCAAAGGAGGACAAAGGACCGTAGTAAGTTTCCCACCCTGGTAGAACGCGCGGATTGTCTAGAAAGAACAGCTACAACGGCCTGGTTATCTGTGTTAAAACAAACCCTGTGATTGCGAAACTGCTCAGCCCATAGGTGCACCGCTACCACAATAGGGAAAAATTCCAAGAATGTAAGGTCCCGAGTAATGGGCTGCCCCTGCCACTCTGCAGGCCACCTCTGGGCACACCACTGGCCCCTGAAATATACTCCAAAACCCAAAGAACCTGCTGCGTCCGATTGAACTTGGAAATCAGCGTCAAGTGCCAAGGAATCCTGCCACAAGGATATACCATTGTACTTGTCGAGGAATTGTAACCACATTTCCAAATCCGCCTTGACTTCCTTGGAGAGGCGTACTCTGTGCTGTGGGGCCCTTAGACCCGCAGACAGCCTGGCCAAACGGCCGCAAAAGGGCGCCCTGGCGACACTACCCTGCAGGCAAAATTTAGGTGACCGAGCAGGGTTTGAATTTGCCTTAAGGTAACCTTTTTTAGGGGCAGTAGCTGTTGTATAAATGCCTTAAGAGCAAGAAGTTTGCTCTCGGGCAACCTGGACGTCTGGGCCACAGTGTCCAACTCAATGCCCAGATATACCATAGAGGTGGCTGGGCCCTCCGTTTTTTCGGCGGCTAGAGGTACCCCTAGCTCCTTAGCTAGTGCGGTGAAGACTCCAAGAGGTCGGAGCATCGCTGCCTGCTATCTGCCACTAAAATAAAATCATCGAGGTAATGGGACACGCCTAAAGACCCGGTCCTGAATCGTAGAGCCCAATCTAGAAATGTACTAAACGACTCGAAGGCTGAGCAAGCTATGGAGCAACCCATAGGCATTGCCTTGTCAATGAAGTATGCCCCTTCAAACCTGAAGCCCAACCAACGGAAGTCAGCCGGATGGACAGGAAGGAGACGAAACGCCGACTCAATGTCACATTTGGCAAGAAGCGCTCCTATTCCAAATCTACGGATCATTTTTACTGCTTGGTCGAAGGAGGCGTACTTCACTGTACAAAGCTCCTGAGGAATGGCGTCATTAACTGAACCTCCCTTGGGTAGGAGAGGTTGTGGATCATACGGAACTCTCCCGGGGTCTTCTTTGGCACTATGCCTAACGGGGATAGGTGTAGTCCTTCCAAGGGTGGCTCAGCGAAGGTGCCGGCCACCCGCCCTGCCCTGATTTCTTTCTCAATCTTTTTCCTGACTATGTCTGGCCTCTCCCTGACTGATTTCTGATTTTGCGGGTCACCCGTGTTAGGTGGGAAGGCCACTGGAATTCTGAACCCCATAGAAAACCCCTCCCAGAGGTATTGCGCGGCTTTACGATCAGGGTATTGGTCTAACAGGGCTTTGAGAGGCTGCAGCCGCACGGGGGAGAAGGCGAGGCCCAGGTGTGGATTACTGGCGGTTACCGGGACCCTGGTTGGAAGATCCGGGGGCACCTCTACTGTTGTTGTGGAAGTACCCCCTGCCTCCCCGAAAGGGCTGCTGCTTATTCTTGAAGCATGCAGAGGCGGGGTGGTTTCCCCAGCACCGGTCGCATTCATGTAAGTACTTACAGGAGGGTCTCGAGCATGCGCCCTTGTTGAACTCCCAGCAGAGGCGACGCCGCTTGACCTCTGTCTTACCCGCCTTGTTTGGTCCCTGGTTTTTCTTTTCAATGTAGGGATTAACGTCCTCGCCCCAAAAGTTAGGGTCCGTTAGGTCCCATCGGGTGGAAGGGAGGAGAGAAGCATTCCTACGGAAGTTCTCATCATATGTTAGAGCTGCCTGTTCCCCTGCTAGCGAGTGAGCCCGTCTAACATGAGCCAGATAAGCAACCAAATCCATGGAGCGCCGAGGATAAGCAGCGCAAACGACACCCATGAATACCTGGTACCCATCCAGCCAATTCTTGAAGGTGCGCTCCGCCCTAGGGGTCCTGTACCTCCCTTTACCGGAGGATCGTCTCCTTTCTCCCTTTCCTATAAGTTTAGTAGGTGGGAGCAGGGTAAACATGTCAACATAGTCCCCGTTGAGGATCTTATTCCTCTTCTTCTGGGACAAATGGTTGCCCAATATGAAATCAGTGGACTGGTTGGTGGCAACCTTTACGTCATCGACCAGTGCCCCATCTTTCCAGTCCAGCACACCATTGAAAGTTTTACGATGAGAATTGGCTCTTCTCTCATGTGCCCAAAGTGGGATCCCATGATTCCCTTCACCTAAACCCCAGTAACCATCCATGGGGCCCTCACTATCGGAATCCGAAGATGACGTACCTGAATCATCCTCTGTCTCGGACTGCCTGCTCCTTTTCTTCTTGGCAGACGTGTGTTTCTTCTTTGATTTCCTTTTCCACCCTGCACCTCTGTGTTGGCTGCGATCGCGCTGGTTACTGGCTGAGCAGCTTGAGGCTCCCTGTGCTCCTCTTCCAAGCCTGAACCGGCACTGTCCTCGGTTGAGCTGTGATGGGGCTGCTGCTCCTGAAACACACTAGGAATGTCTACCACTTGTGAAAAGGCATTGCTACTTGCTCCCTTGGCAGAGGCCTTCCCCTTGCCGGACCCTTTTGCTGATGCCTTACCAACTCCGACGGCTTGGTTGGCCCTCCTAGTCATGGCTGCCTGGGCACGGGTATTGGGACGCCCTGCACTCGAGTTTTCTGACTGGGCGCCACCTCCCACAGCGGCTGCAGTTCCCTGCCGCCCTTGATTGTTCGGGGGGGTGTCGGGTATTACCTCCTGCGAAGGTTCCGGGGCAGGATGCCCCAGCGTCCCAGGCCTACATTGCCTATAAAAGGTTTCGAAAGCCCGGAAGAATTGAGCAAAAGCTTGTGGGTCACAAGGCATGGCCCCCATTTGAGCGCTACCATTACTTGCGCCAGGTGCCATCTGATTACCAGATGTGGATGGCTATTGGTCTCCACCGGAAGCCATGACCAAGTATAAGCAGTACTAGAGCAAGCTAAAAGTATTCCCGAAACAAAAGGACCCACTCAGAAGTAATGTACCGCCAAGGGGTTCCGTCTAGCTCAGAGTTGTCTATCCTTACAGGCTCAACACTGTCTAGTTCAGTATTGTCTACACTTTAGGGATACGGAAGATAACAATCTCCACAATCACTCTCCTTAATTGTTTATTTGCTTATTTATTTATTTATTTGAAGTGTGTCTTCCAAACTTTTTTATTGGCCTATGTGCATAGAATAACAAACTCCCTGCAGTGCACTAGCATGTATGGCTGACGTATCCAATTGCGTAAAGCTACAACTGCCAGATGGGATGGGAGGTATAGAATACTGCTGCCCAATTAAGTTTTATTTTCCCCCCCTTATTACTTTATGTATTTGTATGTATGCTATGTATTTGTATCTATGTACTTATATATATGATATATATATATTCTATAAACTTATTATTAAAGCAATTAATAATATTGCAATATATGTAACTCTGATTATCAGTAAGCTACGCCTATTCAGTACGGGTGTATTATCCAGATAAATGCAAACAAAACAATTAAGGTAAAAGGAATGCTAACACAGAGCCACTGATTCTGCCAACAGCCCCCTTTCGCTGTTTATTAAATACACGTTGCCCGGAAAAATCCCCTGTCACCGTGGACGCAGTAAACCTCAATTGCCGGCTCCCCAGAAGCCACCAGAAACCCAGCAAGACCAGAGCGAAATAAGCAGTTAAAGTCACAACACACTAAACGCACTGCAGGTTTAAGGGAAGGCAGCGATAGGTAAATTTAGAGCGGGCGACCGCAGCACCCCTCTGATGCAGGCAATAATTCAAAGCGCCAGGGACGCTGCACCAATAGTAGCTGCGATGTTAAAAAGCCCTCCCCAAGATGGCTGCCTGCGCCAACGCACGTGGCCCCACCAAGATGGCGCCCGATAATCGCTCCTGCTCCCCCGCCTATAGGCCTATTTGACTGAAGAGGCTTTATGCCTCGCTTAAGATGGCGGGCGCGAGCGATTTCCGACCACGTGGTGCGGAAGGCGGTGGATAATGGCCGTTACCCTGGTAACAAAGAACGCTTCCGTGCGCTGATGAAAAGGAACGGCAGCCGAAAATTAAACCGAGGCAGTAAACGCCGCACAAGCTGTAGCAACAAAGCCGACCCAAGAGCAAACAAAAGGGGGGGGCACCGCGGCCAAACCTCAATCTTCGCGTCCCTCCGCGCCGCGTCCTGCCGTCCCGGCAACCTCTGTAGGGAACGAGAAAACCGCAGCAGAAGCTGGTTGAAGAATCCTAAGGGCCGAGGAACGACGCCAACTGAGGACTGAGCACAAGCCGCGAAGCCACGCGGCCCCCGTGACCGAGAGCGCGACCGGAAACGGGAATCCGAAGCAGCAAGCAGCGATGGTAAGACAGTGAAATCAGCTCTTTTCTTGTATCGCTGCTTCGGCTCTCTCGGTCGGCTCGGCTCTCGCTCACACGCGGGCGTCCTGGATGCTGCTGCAAGCGAAGGCTGGGAGTTCCGGCGAGGAACCTGAAAGAAAAAACCTGCTCCAGCTGGTGAGGGGGAAAGAGGGCGATCCCCGGGCGTACCTGGCCTTAAGTAGGATAGGCCACGCCTCCCCTGCCTGCCAATTGGCGGGCCGGGTTGCAGGCACGCCCGGGGATTCCCTGATCTCGCGGGGCTAAGCCCCAGCCCCCACGTGTGTGGGAGGGGGTCGCCCGCAACCCCCTCTCCTCCTAGGTCGGAAATGGCTTTACTGAAAGAAACAGGGGAGCCTAGGCCAAGGCATGTGAAAGAGGCCTTAGTGGGCATTCGTAAAGGTACAGATCTACTGCCAGTCCGTGTCTCTTTTCTGCTCTTCATCATAACATTATTTTTTCATTTATTTAATCATTTTTTCAATACAAACAACAACTGCAAAAAACCACATACAACGAAAACCATAATAACACAATTTGACAATTCAGATTTGAATACACTGATATACCTATGACTACACCTTTTTTGAGAGGGACGCGGGTGGCGCTGTGGGTAAAACCTCAGTGCCTAGGACTTGTCAATCGTATGGTCGGCTGTTTGAATCCCTGCAGCGGGGTGAGCTCCCGTCGTTCGGTCCCAGCTCCTGCCCACCTAGCAGTTCGAAAGCACTCTTAAGTGCAAGTAGATAAATAGGGACCGCTTCATAGCGGGAAGGTAAACGGCATTTCCGTGTGCTGCGCTGGTGCTGGCTCGCCAGCTGCAGCTTCGTCACGCTGGCCACATGACCCGGAAGTGTCTTCGGACGGCGCCGGCTCACGGTCTCTAGAGCGAGATGAGCACGCTGTTAGGATATTTCCGTTCCACCTTAAAAGGGAGCAGGCTTTGTGAGTCACAGAGTCTGCGCATTTCCTGTTCACAGGAAGTTTATGTTTTCTATTGCTTTCGTTTCTCTCTGTGTGTCAGAGACACTGAAGCAGGCAGTCATGTTTTTCTTTGTTCTGATCAACGCTGAATAAAACTTGTAAATAATGCTCTCCTGCATGCAACTTTCGCTGTGCATTATCTGCTGATAGAGAGCGTGCATCGGCTCTAGAATGTGGCAAGCTATTTCTGGAGCTCATGTCGCTAATTGCTGATACTGCGTGCCTACGGGAGATCGACGGACGTCCGGACCCGGCTTGGGGGCCATGATGGACTTTGTCTCCCTGGCAGTATCCCAACACACGCAACCCTAGAGTCAAACACGACTGGCCTGTACGGGCAGGGGTACCTTTACCTTTACCTTTACACCTTTTTAACAATATTTTCCCACCTCTCTCTCCTCCCCCCACTTCCCACCACTATCCGCCTTATCGCTTAAATATTCCTTCCAGATTTCTTCATATTTATCCATTCTTAATTTGCATCAACATGTAATTCATTCGTATGTAGCTAATCTGTCCATATTATCAATCCATGTGCTCCCTGGAATCTTTTTGCGGCTCTTCCAATTCATCAAAACAAGTTTTTTTTGCTTTTAATATAGCATGGTACATCCATATATTTTTTTTACTCCTTGTAATCTCCTACGTTTCCGGAATATAATTTAGAATTAAATTCAATTCCCTTAAACAACAATTTCTTTTTATTATTCTTGCTATAAATATCCTCACCTGGCACCAAAATGATCTTATCATCGGGCAGTTAATCATCATATGTACTAAGTTCGCATTTTTACTCCCACATCTCCAGCTCTTCATCATAACATTCACTTATATAAACACAATGTTTGGTATAACATCATCACCCCCTGCCTTCCCTCAGCATTAGCTATCTGTTATGAGATGGAGCAATGCACAGCAAGATAACATCATGTCATGCACTGTGAGGCCTATTAGGCTGAGGGCAAAAGAGGCAAGGAGTGGTGGTAGCTCAACATCTCGCACGTTTAGGCCTAGTCCTCACTGCGTATAGCAGTGTCTTTGCAAGGGATAGTGAAACTGTGGACCTCCAGATGTTGAACTACAACTCCCATCATCCCTGAGTTCTGGTGTTGATGGGATTTGGAATCTAACATCTGAAGGCTCAGAGGTTCCCCATCCCTGGTATTGATAATATGACCTCAGACTGTAGGTGGGGTCTGACATGGTTCAAATTTCCCTCTGAGTACATGTAGGAGATGACTGGAGGAGGGTTCTAGCCTAGTCTAGATACTCTTTTTCCATGTTCAAGTATTCTCCCCTCCCCGCACGCCCTTTGTATGGAGGCACATGCAGCCATGGTAGTCCCCACCTGCAATGAAGTGCAACGATCACTCTTCAGTGGGAACTATGCCTAAGATAAACCCTAAATGAAGCTACTGAGAGAATGGAAGTTGCCTTTGGGTTACATACCACCTGTGAGCTACCTTCAGCATATTTTCTCTAACCTGTACTGGACATATTTTGATACCGGATATATTTTGACAATATATACATTACACACACCCACACACCCACACCCGGGGGGGGGGATTAATGGAAAGCATTTTCCAACAGTCACGTGCCATTCTGAGTGTCAAATGGATTATTTCCATGGTTGTCTTCCTGAACTGTGTTGCATTTAGGTCATTGTCCCTGTTCAATAGTCTATTCCTTCCCCAAACCTCCTCACGTTCTTAAATGGTTGAAATAACACACAGGGCTGGTACGCAGCAGGAAACATTCCTTATTACTATTTTCAACGGCAGAAGCAAGCGGTAAATAACACTGTCATTGCAAAAGCTGGTGATGAAGCTAAAATCTCTGTGTTCAATACAAGTGTCTGTTTATTGAATGTCTCCTCTGTAGGGATCACCACTAATGGTCCATAAGTGAGAGGGAAAAGTCAATAGTCTTCAATGATAACCCAAGAAGACAAATGCTTCTTTCGTTTTGCCTACTCCATTGCATCCAATTTAGGAGACTCAGAATGAGAAACCTTAGAAAGTACTAAAGGATTGCAAAAGGCAGGGCTCTACGTCTCCTAATGGCTTTGCATTTTCATATTCTTTCAGCATTTTTTGGGAGGAAGGTATTTGACATCAGTCTGCAGAAGTTCCACATGGCAGAAATCTCCATTTCTTAAGTAGTGAAAAACTAAATAAGGAGAAAGACATCGTCCATCCCCTTCTGACAGATTTACAGCGCTTATTAAGTCTATTTTTTGCCTTCTCTTTGCATAGTAAACCACTTTCATATTTGGATAATGCAGTGGCATAACATGGGTTGCCAGTACCTAGGGCCGTATGGAGGAGGTGGTGGGAGGGAAGAAAACGGATAGAATACGCATATGCATTCAACTGCCTAATGCTGTCCCACATCACCCAGGATATTGCAGTTGCAGAGATAAGAAAAGACCAGTTGTTCTGTTTCCTGAAGAGCTCACTTCCTGGTCCTCATGGA